CGAATTTTATCGTCACGAGAGAGCTTTTCCGTTTCACGCTAGAGCTCAGCGACTAAACTCCATTAAGAACTGATTCGAAGGCCTATTCTGTAACTTTTCACAATAGTGCTGTTATTGTTGCGTTGTCATCGCCCAGTTATAATATACGGAAGTATATTAGTTATAATATACAGATATATAGAGAAGCTGCGCAACGACGTATCATGCTAGTGACATTGTCATTAGGAAGTTACATAATGGGTCCATTGGCTCGATTTATTGTCAAATATAATGTAGCCCGGTCTGTATCCGCTTTAAAACTAAAGTCTGATTGGAGGCTGCGAGCTTATATTGTAATTTCTGACCATACATTGTTGCGCAGGTGTGACATATTATAGTAGCAAAACTGCGTTATGAGAACGTGACGATAACGACACTGTCGTTAAAAGTTACAGAATAGACCTACTGATCGTTTTGTTGACAAGAAGCTTATCCGCGCCACGCTTGGATCTAGTTTCACTCTAAATTTCTCGGAGTGAAATTTCGCTTGAAAATTCGAGTTGCGGTCGAGTCATTCGAATTCGAGTGATTTTTCACTTGTATAGATTGGATTCTTCACTATGAACTGTTGAGTAATTATTCGAGATTGAAGAGTGAATCTAACGTATTTTGTTGTCAGACGAACATAATCGATTGAAACATTCGTTCATATAAAATCAGAACCTACTCTAAACTCGAGTGAAATATTCGCTCTTTGAGTGTCAATATTTTCACTATTAAAAAATCAGAAAAAGACTTTGATGAATAACAAACAGGATAAAAATGGACTTTTAAAAGCCACGCAAAAATTCAAGTTAGATCCAATAGTTTACAAAAATTTAAATATTATGTTAGATTTAACTTAAGTTTTTATAAATTACTGGATCTAACTTAGATTTATTTCTTCGTAAATATAATTGTTTTATAGCACTATAAGATCCGTGCTTGACTATTAAAAATCCATTTTTGTATCTTGTTTGTTTTAATTATTGTTTTAAGCGAAAATATTACCACCCCTTGCTCATTTTGAGTGAGATGCCACTCAAAATGTTGAAAAATAGCAATGAATAATGTTGAAAATTAACATTTTATTTTTTATTGTGTAGCGCATCACTGGGTCTTCATTTACAGGGCTTTATTTAACGTGCAAAATTTTGGAAACGTCACTATTTTTCTTTTTGTGATGTTGTGGAAGATATCACGATGGTTCGCGCGATTCGCATCGCGTTGCTCGAGGTTATTCCGCGGACGTGTACGACGAAACTTCTTGAACTTGAACTAACGCGGGCGATCCGGTGGGCTCATTACCAAAATTGCGTCCGTTATCTGCAATTTAATGCAACGTGTGTTCCGTCATGCCAAAATTATTTATAACGCCGTGTACACGTATGTACAGCACGATTCTTCTACACATCGAAGCGAAAGTCCTAACCGCGTTACAAAACACGCACACTCGCACATAACCACGGCGATAATATCGGGGTAATTAACTTCCGCGGTATTACCGCGGCGAGTTTTATAGATAACACAAATAATCGAGATCTAACGAAATTATTCCGCGCGTGCACATTATTTACGTAATTAAAATTTAACCGTGAAACTTGCGTTAAATATTACAAAACTGCAATTTGGCGTGGCCCCATTCCGAAAGAGCCGCTCCCTAATCACGACCATTAGCTGTGGCAGCAATTAGCAATGAAGGACCGGCGGAGCGCCGAGGTTTTGATACGCACAATGGAGTGCGTATGCACCTAAAGAGCGAATGAATGAGAAAAACGGCGACCAATTAACTCACCCCGCGGAGACTTCCGGTCTGGAGAGAAATTTCGCCGCTCGATACGCTCTGTTCTCTTGCTCACGCAGTAATTTCAGCCGCTCGCGTATATTAATTCAAATACTGTGCGCCATTGTTCCAGCTGCGGGTCCGAAAAGATGGTGTCTGTGTGCAAAATGAGTCTCTCGCAGCGCTAACCGGGATGTATGCAATCGCGGCGCTCCGATGGAGACCAGAATTTTTGGCCAATCAAAGAGGGCCGCGCAAATCGCCAACTGTGATGTCCCTGGTCCTCGCAGAACGCGAAGAGATCCTCTTATTCGTATATGCGTATATCGTAATTTCTTCATTTCTACATAGCGTGGCAGTGGGGATCGGTTAGCAGAGGCTACGAGGGGCGCGAGGGGTGCGAGGGAGAATTTTCAGCAGCGGAACGCTTAATTAGCGGGCCATAACGGCCCTCGACACGTACGTGTAATAATGAAAAATCGCCGACGGAGTTTCGAGCGGCGCGAGATGTCCCTAATTAAACGAATAGGGCGTTTAACGAGAGTACACACGAAATTCTCGCGAGGCAATAATCGCGTCGTCACCCCCGATGGGTCGGACATTCGAAGTTGATATCGATATCATCGGGCGCGCGCACAATATAATGCGCCCTGATCTGCGATAAATTTCATTCGGTCCGTAGCGCCCCTGACAAGTTGCGCGCGATAAAATTTGTACAAAAGCGTGTCGCCGCGCCATTCTGTCTCCCCTATGATTTGTATTATTATCGTACAAAAGCTCGCGCTTATTTCTAGAAAACAGCTGTACAGTTTTAGGAGTGCGTTTACCTCCGCTCGCGCGTCCGCACCGCGCAAATCCGAGTGTGTTATTTTCAAGCGCAGAAGCGTGCAACTTGGTCGCAACTCTTTTTGCACGCCCCTTGCCACTTTAAATCGCGTTGTTTCACACGTCTAAGACGCTTAAGATGTAAGTTGTAGTAATGCAATACGTTTTGTGAAACGTATTTAGATGACGTGACTCAAAACGGTAAGAAACATGTGAAAAGAGATTCAGCCGAGGTAACACACTCGGTTTTGCAGTGTGTAGTCGCGCGAGTAGAGTGACACCTGTCCAGTAAATGAACGCTTAAGCACCAAACTCCAATATTTGAACAGGCGAGGCTAGGCCAACTTTCTGCGACGCACTTTTTTGACATGATCATAAAACCCGTGAGTTACCTCTCTACTTTTGACGTAATAAAAATCTGTGAGCTGCTCACCTGAGCCATCAAGTGCGCCACGTACATTGAAAAAAAAGGTTTGATAATAACCGTCAAACTTATAATAATAGTTACCAGATGCTTTGGTGAATTAGTTTCAGCTAAACGTATGTAGGTGAATATATAATAAAATAATTTAATAAATATTAACAAATAATCTTAGTAAAACTTGGTATCTATTGCCAATATTAAAAAGAGGATTTTGTTGTTGAAACGAAAATTTGTTTAACATAGCATCAACCAAATATTTGTTAATTGCAACCAAAAAAATTTAATTACCACTATATGCGTGCTATCTGCTTTCTCAATAATACCTCAACAAGAACCTTGGTATCTGTTGCTAAAACTTGGTGACTATTATCAATTTACATGGTGCGTTTCATCAAGCAATTTGTTAAATAAAACCGTATTATTTCAATAATACCTATCATATTGTGTAAATATACGAAATGTGATCAAGTACTTTGATAATAATCAAACTATTCAGTGCAAAGCTATTAAGTATTAATTAATTAACTATTTATTGTCAAATTATTAGCCATTATTTATAAAACTAATTAATTATATAAACCAAATGAAAAATTTGTTTGACTAATTATTTTGTAATTATTAACAAATAATTGGTAATTACCATACTAATTAATAATTACACTGAAGCGCTTAATCCAATGCACTTGTTAACTATTACAAGATTTTTCTTTCACCTTAATATTGTAATAAATACTGCAAACTGTTTATTCATTAAATTCAATTACTGTTTAATTACTGGACATGTCATCCTAACTCCTTCGCGCAACGTAACGGACCATGATTCTTCGTGGATTTGTTTCTTTTTTCCTTTTTTTTATTTTTTTTCTTACTTTCTGCGACGGGGAGGCGTGCGTCCACGTTTCTCCTCGGTGCGCTGAGAAAAATTCTCGATGACTCCTACGTCATCACCGCCCTCGCTATTTCGAGGAGTCGCGGCCTCGCCTTCGCCATTTTTCACGTGCTGGAGCATTAATCAAAGTCTCTCCTGTTCTCCAGAGAGAGAGAGAGAGAGAGAGAGAGAGAGAGAGAGAGAG